AAAAAAAAAAAGAAGTTTATGGTATCAATTTCATTTCAGACCACACTTCTGCTATCATCTTGTTTTCTCAGCATTATTTTTATTTAGCCTCACCTTTTCTAATTAATGTAAATGTCTATGTAAAGGTATTATTTATAATCTCTTAATCTTTTGTGGAAAAAGGTAGGGATGGATAAAAAAGGGAAATGGGAGTTGGAAAAGAGGAAAGATTCTATTCAAGTAATAATCAAATAATGAACTACACTAACAGAAAGACACTATTTCTTTTGGTGCAATATTGACCAGCAAATAAGCTTTTTGGGAAAAATGTGCTATGGCTGAGCTAAACCTAAAGATAGATTCCTTTTTATCCCTTGAGTTTATAAAACTTCTGATATAGAACCAGAGTTTCAGAGTCTTTTCCAGCTTGTCTAGGAGTTCAGGTAGTCACAACTAACTCTCATAAACTTTCCCATGATAATCAACATGTGATTTGAACCCTTAATAACCTAGTTTTCTATGATGTTTCAGGTCAACAAAAGACCAAAGAATAAGCTATGCCTTCCAGAATAAAGGCTGTATTTACATAAACTAAGAGGACTGAGGAGACTTGAATATCAACCAAAATAATAGATACATTCACAGGGATTCTCAATAGTCAACAACAGAGGTCAGCAAACCACAGCCTGGGTATCAAATTTAGTCTGCTCCATTTATCTACTGCCTGCAAGCTAAGAATGGTTTTTTTGTTGTTGTTAAATGGGAAAAAATCAAAATAGTTTTATTTTACATGCAAAAAAAAAATATATATATATATATATAAATCAAGTTTCAGTGTACTTACACAAAGTTTTATTGAAACCCAGCCATGCTCATTCATTTACAAATTCTCTATGGTTGCTTTTGTTCTAAAACGGCAACACTGAATAATTCCAACAAGGATCACTTGGTCCACAAAATGTGAAATATTATCTCTTTGGCCCTTTATAGTAAAGTTGATAGACTCCTACTCAAGGCCATGGCTTGGAACATAGGACAAGGATTTGCTGCACTCATCCATGGTGCAGGGTAGGGCTTTGGGGTATCCTCCATCTAGCTCCTTCAGAGATCTCAAAGGAAACCACCTTACTCTTACAGAGTCTTCTATCTAGGCCCACTTTGTGGGTCAGAATATACTCTGGCACATGCAAAACTACCATTCTGTTGCATTTGCAGACTTGAGAGACTACTATTCTCCCCTACATTCCCCAGCCTCCTCTTTCATCCTTTCACATCTGACCTAAATAACCAACAGATCATAATTGATTTCCTGGTGATAGGAGAGAGAGCTTACTTTGCTATTTTATAAAGGACACTATGATTTTTGTTTGTTTTCATGGGATTTTTAAAAATTTCTTTCAAAATATGGAAACAGTAGGTGATTCTTTTCAGCCTATAATGTGAAGTCTTTCTGGGAGATTACAAACAAGGTATATAGGAAAGACCCAAAGAAGAGACTCTGCTCCCTGTGTGACAGCAAAGCTGCCTGCAACCCTTGGCCATGTGAGGGGGGGGATGGGAACTAGCTTTGTTCAATTATTAATTGTGCCTTCAACAGTACAGAGTGTGACAGCCTTGCAAAGGAAATGTACCTGTAATTAGCTCGACCCTATAGGGACAAAGAGCCCTGGTTAGGGGAAGATTCTGTGCAGGGTTCACAATACCTGATTATCTGTCATTTGATGACATGAGAGAAAGAAAAAAAGAAATATGCATGGCATATTTTTATGAGGAGAATATTTATTACCTTTTAATTTGGTTTAAAAAAATTGGTAAGGCCATTTTGTTTCTTTTTGCACCTAAAATTTCCTTTTCATGTATACTGCTTTTAAAAAGTTAAATTAGAAGAATGGTGAATTTTTCATACATGCAAAATAAAAACACCTAAATTAGATGAACTTGAAGACATTCATGCATTCTGTGTGCCTTTCTTGTATTTCTGATTACTTTTCTTCCCTCTTCAGTTATATAGCTCAAAATGATGTGTCACACATGCCGTTATTAAATGTGACCTATTTTCTCCCGTAATTAAGTTAGACTTTCATAATCCTGTGACTCCCAGAGGGCAATTGCACCATAACGTGTATTTTCTATGGAGTGTTTGATCTTCCTTCTGTGAGCAATGCTACTCCCATCTTCATTTAACTTTGTTTCTAAAGCTTTCTTCTCACATTCATCAGGAAGTCCCTTTCTCAAACGTGCATCATGTGTTGTCAGGATTGCTCAGGGTCACAGAAAGAGTTTCTATGCATTTCATTTCCGCAAAGGTTTTCACAGCCTCAGTAGCTTTCTATCACTGAAAAAATCAAAAGATACACTGAGGATTTAACCCTTTAGGCTGAGAACAACCCAATTACAACCCAACTGTAATTTTCTTGTTCAGCCACAAGCCAGATTTCACTTAAAAAATATTTTGCAATTTGATGTAGTGAATGGGAAAACATGGTGCCTGGAGAAGCTAAGAGGAGTCTGAAGAGTGTGACAGCCCATTTTCTCATTGGACATTGAGTTTTAACCACTTGATCTGAGATTCCCCTTTCAATTCATTTCCAAGTCTGAACCCTTGACTGATGGTACTTTTTGATTCCATTAATGCTATTACTCCCATCCGTTTTACTTCTAATTGTAACTTACCCAATATGACCAGTCTACACTCTGAC